CTGTTTGCACAGAGACAGTTGGCTCATTGAATCCCACGCCTATCTAAATGGGTCAGGATGTGTCACTGGGGGCAGGTTTCAGTAACAGTCACGATTTACAAATTTGCCATTTGTCCAGTTCTGATTCTCTGTTCCGAAATGCAATCCTAGCAATGAGAGGAATGCGAAGAGAGGGGAGAAAGCGTATCCTTCTAGAGAATCTACACTTTCAGGGCCCAGGGCCCTGAGCTGCCTGCCTTATCGTCTCTCTGACTCCAAATCCCTGGCTGCCTAAACTCTTCCTCTCTCGCAGATCCAGCATCAAAGAGTAAAACTGCAGTACCACGCTTTGCCAATAGGGGATGTCCTCTGAAACCAGAAGCTCTCGGTTCTAAAAATTCCTGAAAGTCGTGGCTTTCGTGAGTTTAAAATTTAGCAGAAACGAACACTTCTCAAAATTTTCTATTACTTTGAAGACTAAATTTATTTATTTATTTATTTTTAATATATTTTTATTGATTTTTTACAGAGAGGAAGGGAGAGGGATAGAGAGTTAGAAACATCGATGAGAGAGAAACATCGATCAGCTGCCTCCTGCACATCTCCTACTTGGGGATGTGCCCGCAACCCAGGTACATGCCCTTGACCGGAATCAAACCTGGGACCTTTCAGTCCGCAGGCCGACGCTCTATCCACTGAGCCAAACCGGTTTTGGCAAGACTAAATATCTTTAACTATTTATTGACTTGATCTTAACTCATTGTAAGTTAAAGCAATCAGCGGACTGGCCTTCCATCTGTACAGTGGACGCATGCTTCCAACCTGCCATCACTTACTCCCCTTTGCAAACTACGGAGGGTCAGATCCGCCTCTTACAGCTAAGGAAGCTACCGGTCCCCTCGGGGTTGAAATCGTGATGAGGATCTCGTTGGAGCTCAGACTGATATCAGTGTGGCTCATTAATCCAAATGTAGCTTGGAAATATCACAGGAAACACACACACGAGGGCCTTTTCCAATTGCAGCCCACGCGTTGAAGGAATATGTGCCACTTTACTTTTTTAAATGACAACTCACTTTTTAGGTGAACACGGCTGACTGAATTTAAAAATATCCATTCAAAAATACGTCTGCACTGGAGTTCAGACTTGCCGTGTGAGCGTCAAGGCTGCATATTATTAGTCTCACTACTGGGCCGGAAGTAACTGGGAAATGCCACTAAGCCAGTCTGACTCGGGTTCACACGCCTGAATGAGCAGGTGGGCATGACAGGTGAGGATAACCAGCCTTTTATTTGATGTTTCCAGGTACAGACGTTTCTGTGTCACTGCCCTAGCATCGGTGGGAAGGACATGGACATATTTTTTGGAGGCACTGGGTTCAAATCTCCTCTGGGCAAATGACTTGAGTCTTCTGAGCTTCAGTGCCTAGCTCCCAGGGTGGTTGTGAGGATGATAAAGTTAATGTATCCTAGAATTCTCACACCCTGCCACAGGTGGACAGCTCTAGGTGTGTCATTTCTTGCTTATATGTCTGACTCTGGTAAGTCTTAAAAGACCTCCAGGGAAAGTATGGGGTATGATTCGTCTCTACAACTCTACAGTTAGTACACGGCCTGAAACATAATATGTGCTCAATAAATGCTGAGTGACTCAAATATTGGGAAATAAATGCTGTGCAACAGAAAGAAATGGTTCCTGTGTCTTCCCACTAACAGAGAATATAAAGCATTCTCTCACCCCCACCCCACCTCTGGCCCCTGCAAAAAACGCAAAAGAAGAAAAGAGAAAAAAAAATTGATTTATCACAAAATTTTCTAGCAATGGATGGGCTCAAGTCACTTTACCAAGGAAATCAAACTTATCTCTACTGAATCATAAATACTTATTATGACTGTACGTAAGTTATATGCAGATGTATTTTATGGCTACTGCTATAGATATTGGATCATCTTTCGCATTAATTGAGCACTTACTATATGTGAAATTTTGTCCTAAATACTGCAAATATATGAAATCATTTACTGTAATGCCGTATGAAGCAGGTACCAGCCTTTTTCACATTTCACAACTGAAGAAACATCACCACATAAAGACTAAGTAACTTGCCCACCTTGTACCCAGTAGAGTAGGATCTACATCCCAGAAACCTGGCCCTGTACATTTTTGGAAGTAATTTCTGCTTTATATATGCTTAGAAAGACTTGAATTATTTATTACGCTTATTTTGAGTTTTAATTTCTTACGAGAGGAGAAAGCTGACTTATTTTTTCTGAGCAATGATCCTCAATCTAGCTTAGGCCTAAGGGGTGATAGGGCAAGAAAAAACTAATCAGGACAATTTGAATCAAGGGAAATGGGCAAAATAAAATAGTGAAAATACCCTGAATAAAACGGTGCCCAAATTATTCTAGTCTTCACTGGAGCAAATATTTGGATGGCACAGGCTTGGGTAACTTCTGTTTCCCACTATGATGGAGTTTCATGTGTTCAAACCAATACCCTCACTGAGATAATAATAGCTGGATTTTTTAAAAAATGGTTGGAAGGCTTCAAAGGACAGCAAAGGCAGAAAAATCTATTGATGTTAGCCCAATACTCCTCACATTATCTCTGCTTTTCTCCTCCAATTATTGGACAATTCTTTATATATATTTCAGAGAGGAAGGGAGAGGGAGAGAGAGATAGAAACATCAATGATGTCTGAGAATCATTGATCGGCTGCCTCCTGCACGCCCCCTACTGAAGATCGAGTCTGCAACCTGGGCATGTGCCCCCTACTGGAATCGAACCCAGGACTCTTCAGTCCTCAGGCCAACGCTCTATCCACTCAGACAAACCAGCCAGGGCTATTGGATAATTCTTAAGTAGTGTTGGCATTCTCAGAGACTGGAGAGACAAAAAATTGGAGTAAAAATATTCCAAGCATCCAGGACGGTAGGGATAAAAATTCTATTTTTAAAAAGGGAATCACAGAGAAGAAGTGATCTCAACATTCTGAAGAGTGTTTCTCTTGGAGCATTTGCCAGCTCCTAAATGGTATTATATAAGAGAATAAGAAGTAGAGCATAAAAATACATCTAAGAGGATAAAAACAT